CCACCAACACAACCATCACCATTCCCATTACCATCACTATTATCACTACTACCACCCTCATTACTGTCACCACCACCTCAACCCACAATCTCCACCACCATGACCAGCACCGCCACCCCCACCATCATTACTATCCCATAACCACCTCCACCACCATCACCACCACCAGTGTCACCATCACCACCATCCACTTTGTCACATTTTTCACTTTCGTTTGACCACACAGAGGTAAGACTGCAGAATCCAACCACTAGCATCTCTCCTCTTTTAACCGTCTGCACCCCCATATATTCACTTTCATGTCTGTTTGCTAATAATCAAAGAGGTCAATCAAAGCCTGACCACACACCATTTTAGGCTGACCATGCATTTTGGTTTGTCCTGAACAGTCCTAATTCATGCCTTTGTCCCTATTTCATTATTAATTGCTCTCCTCTTTCCTCTCAACTATGTCCTGGTTTGCATGACACATGGTCACCCCAGTTAAGACCACATCCAGCTTCTGATTGACCCCCACAAAGACCAGCAGTTCAGATGCTAACTCAGAACAGACTCTGGTGGGCTAGCTGGAAGGGCATCGCGCCCCCCACCAGGCACTGATAGCTAATGATGTCCCTCCCCTCCCTTGCCTACCCTGCCCACCCCCACCCCCTCCCAGGAAACCCCTGAGAAAAGAGGAGAACGGCACCAGTGTTGCTGAGTATCCCATGACGTCCTCGCAGAACAACAAAGCCGTGGACGTGAACAGCGCTGTGGTGTGAGTCTGCAGCCCTGGACCCGCTGGCCAGAGGGGAACCTTGGTGGCACTAGTGGACGCGAGCTGACACTGGGCTTGTCCAGACTTCATTGCCTTGCCGGCTTCGAGCCTCCCAAAGGAGAAACCATCCTCTTCCCAGCCTTGCCCCTGGTCAGCCCACAGGCAGAGGCAGCGCAGACCCCAGGCTGAGCCAGGCCCACCTGCATGCAGCCCCCGGGGCAGCGCCACCGCCCGAGGCTCCTCACACCTCTTCCTTGTCTTGTGTTCAATCCGCTGTCCGCCGTCTCCCAGCTACTGTCTAAAGCACGCACTCTGTCCTAGGCAGAGGGTCTGTCTGTCTGCTGCGTCAGAGAGGCGCCCCCTTTAGCCAAGAGAAAGGCAATCCAGGGACCACTCCCCTGCCAGAAAACCTCTCCTCTCCTCCCCCCACCCCCACCCCAGGAAGTCCATCTGCTGTTCCGTTGACCACGTCATTCCCAACAGAAGCCATTGGCACAACCATGAGACATCCCCTTTCTAAGGTGCTTCCCACACATCTGTCTGTCGCCCCACCTACTATCATCTTCAGTCGTCATGGCCTGCCTTCTCCCTCCTGTCCCCACTGACACCCCGGGCCCCTGGATCCTGACTCCCTGCCACGGAGGGCTGTGAGCCCAGCTCGCAAAGCCCCTCCTGACTGAGCAGACAAAGGGGGTCGTTTACACTTGAGGGCAGTGCCTGGCCTTCTAGGGGCAAAATGACTCCTGAACCCTAGGCCAAGGGCCCAGGAAGGACAGCGGCCACTACACCTGTTCTCAGACTCATTCCCATATCTGACCCTTTGGAACCGATGCATCTGTGTGAGCCAGGCCCTGCCTTCGTCTGGCAGAGGCCACCATTTGTGCCAAACCCACTGCCAGCGCTCTGGGCTGGGCTGGGCTGACCCGGCCTTTCTGACACTCCCTTGAGCCCCTAAGTAGGTACTCAGACTCTCTCCTGAGAGCCCCCAGGCCTCCCCTCATCCAGGAGGAGGTGGCATTCCTTCAGCGGCTTCCTTGAATGTCTTTCTGAGGTCTTACGTTCTAAAAGTGCTAAACCCTCCAGAGTGGTTGGTGGACCAAGGCAAGGAAAGGGGGTGAGACGAGAGGGGCCCTCCAGGCCTGTGTCCCAGGAGGCCGCCTGCCCTGTGGGCACGTCATGAGGCCCACGGCGACAGTGGCCCAGTGGTTTTGCATCCGCTGGTGGATTGGGGAAACCCTCTTGATCCCGTGGTTCCCTCATCACCCACACGCTTGCGAGGAGAGAACCAGACACATTTAAGTGGTTTCACTCTCTGGCCATGTAGGACCTTAGCTAGGTGAACCCGGTCTGCCTCCCAAACTACCAGTGTAGTTCTCTGGAGGGTCTGGGGCCGCAGGTAAGACTTTCACATCCAGGTGAGAGTGGCAGACTAAATAAAAGCCAGTCCTGTTTGGGCTGAGCCTTGACACACCCACAGTCCCGGAGCCCTTGTGCCCAGAGTAGTCTGTGCACCACTGTCCTTTGGCGAGCACAGGGGAGAAGGTGAGTTTGCTCAGACCCTGCCCCCAGATCAGCAGGTACAGACCGAGGACAGGCCCCAGGCATACCTTCCCAGAAAGGGTTTTTTCTTTTCTGTTTTCCTTCTGTGTGAGGACTTGCTTTGGGTTTGGATGTGGGTTTCGCTTTCCCTGCACACCTTAGCATGGCACCGTGCCACTCGTGGCCTTCATCCTTGCCCTCAGCCTGGTGAGCACTTCACAGCACTCCTGGGTGATGCCTCATTTCCCCAAGGGATGCACAGCAGAGTGACAAACAGACCAGAGGATGTGGGTCCACGGCAGGACAGACCCCACCCCAGCGCACCCTCCCCACCGCCTGTACCTCCTATGAGTCCTCTGCCTGTTCCCCGAGCAAACACCAGACACCGGGCAGGACCCCGGCCCTAAGCACATGCTACCCTGAGCTCAGAAGTGGTGGGAGGGCACCTTCGGCCACAGGGAAGGAGAGGATCCTAGGTAAGGAGTGCTGGGCAGCCAGCCTGGGGGGACAGTGGAACAGGCACCACCCACCTTTTCACAAACCCACTGGTTCCATCTTCCCCCTACCTTGGCTTAAACCTGAGAGGCCCAGACTTTGCAATTAGCCTAATCCATCAGGCTCTGGGGCCAGTGTCCCCTTTCTTGGGGACATAGCCAGGGCGCTGTGAAAAACTAACTCTTGAGAGTAAATTCCCCCACATTGGTTTATAAAATCTCTTCTTACCCAGTCAGCGAAAACCAAGAAGAGCCCAGTTTAAAAAAAAAAAAAGATTCACTTGAGAACCCCCCTAAACCAAGAACCAGCCATTCGGAAGTCAGCTCTCAGGGGTGCAGCGAGAGAGCCCCACCGGATTTTTTAGCTTAAGCAACAGAATCTCCCCTAAAATCGCACCAGCCTGGTATTTGAGCTTAGAGCTTTTACTTAAGGAATGTACCCACAGCCCCCATACACAGACCGATCCTCAGACTAGCCCGAGCTTTGAGGCCCAGGACAAAATCACACCCCTGCTCTCCATTTTCTCAAATGGATATTTTTCAACTGCGTCTCCTAGTTGACCCCCACTTTACAATGGCATAGAGGATCTCCCAGTTTTCAGGTGTTCCTTAGAAGCTTCTGAAGCAAGTTTTGGAAGAAAGACTAATAGCTGTACAAATATAAACATATAGATTATATATAGTTATATATATATATTTAAAGAGATATCAACATATATACAAAATTACTCCTCTGAATCTGTGCACAGTATGATTTTCAAACAGCCCAGGTAGTGTGCGATCCCAAATGCATGAATGTACATATTTGAGATCTGCCTTCCTAACAATGTGCTGAGTGGCCTTGGGAAGATGGCTCCCATTCCTAGGAGCTCTGGCTCAATGGACAAATATACACGTTGGTGCCGTCATGTCCCCCAAGGAGCCAATGATGTCGGTTTCGTGCTGAGACTTCGCACAGGAAGCAGGACCGGCAGCGTTGGGGTGTGGGCTGTATGCTACTTACGAGGAAGAAAGCGCCATGCCTTTTTTATTTTCAATAAAAATATACTTCTAAAGATGGCTTCCAGTTGTCGTTTGGGGCAGGGACTTGGCCCTGGGCCGGGGGTGGGAAGGAAAGAACAGGCTGAGGGTGAGGGTCTGATCCCCCCTGGAGGACCTGCTAGGAACCCCGGGCTGGACCGGGAACCTTCTTTTCCTGTTTCTGTATGGTTTTATCAAATGCCCCAAGACCGGTGTTTCTGGGGATCCTAAGGTACCGACCTGCCCTCATGCCCTGACCCGGCCACCTGGGTCCTTGACTTATGTTGAGAAGAGGGTTGGCCTGCCAGAGTTGGCATCTATATCCCCAACCCCGCCCCCAGCCCCGGGGGGAGTGTGTCAGCTCAGCGCAGAGGCTCTGGGGAAAGGGCCGGTGTCCCAGGCATGTGGGGTCAGGGCAGTGGAGGGGAGCTGTGCAAGTTCCCACCAAGAGCCAGGGGGCATTCATGCCTCCACAACCACCTGGGGTTCAGTGAGCTGCCATTTGTCGAAACCTGGCACAGGTACTAGCCTACGTCAGGCATGCCATGCAGTGGGTGGCAGCGTCATTGCTGTTATTGTCACTGCTGTCATTAATAAAAGGCTGCCATTCTGGCCCGAGTGGGAACGCCCACGGACCAGCAACATGGGTCCTTCCTGAGGGGCTGGTGAGGATTTGGGGGGGGGACACCTCTGGCCTTGTACACACTCCCGTGTACCCCAGCCCAGCCGAACTCGCAGCAGCAAACCATGAGGCAGGGAGCAGCAGGCCTGTGTGCGAGGCTCTGCCTCCGGCAGGCACCCTGGGACAAGAACCAGGGCCATCGTGGGAGACGGAGGAGGGGGCGGGCCGTTGCTGCCCGAGGAGCTGGCAGCACAGAACAGAGCAGCAGGCCCTCCCAGGAGCCATTTCCCATCTCCACCTTGAATCTCGGGGGCTTGTGGCCACTTGTTCCAGCTCTGCTGACCAACACAGCAAACAACAGTATATGTTTCACCGCCTGCCGGGCTCGTGCCTGCACCCTGGGCCGCCCACCAACTGCACTGGGTCCTGCTGCTGCCAGCGAGGCGTAGGACACAGCGGGATCCACAGGTGTCCCCACATGGCATCCAGAGGTGTGGCAGAATTACTGCCCCTGAACAACGGGCAGCGGCACAGAGGGTCTCCTCGTGGGGCATCACGGGAGACTGTCCTGGGAGGCGGAGCAAGCATCCAGCTTGATTCCAAGTGGTGGCCTCACCTTTGGACATGCTCACCCACCCCGACCCGGCTAGTGACCGCCCATGTCCCCTCCTCTCCCACCCCCGACGCAGACACTAAGTGTCTTTAGACTCTCTCCTCCCACTTCCAAACCCAGCTCTCAGGAAAGTCCCTGATGAAACCCCTGGCACAAGCTTGACGCCCTTTCTCCATTCCTGGCACAAACCGGGGGGGCCCCGCCGGGCTGCAGGGTCCGCAGTGTCTGCCCCTCTCTGGCCGATCCGACATCTCAGGCACCCGTCTCCCCTCCCTCATCCTATCAAGCGCGCATGACTCCCAAGTTTGTACCGTCCAGTCCCGCCTTACCCGCTCAGCTCCAGATGTGAGGTGGTCCCACCGCACTCTTCCTGTGACAGGCCTCTCCTCACTGCCCCGCAGGACTCCTGGCGCTCCCTGCACTATCGCTCGTCCCATCTTCCTCATCTCCACACACAGCCTCACGGCGCACCTCCATTTCTCAGCCCGAACCCTAACAGCCACCCTCGTTCCTCCTTGCCCTGGGTCCGCGGCCCACAAGCGAGCAAGTCCGAACGTTCTCCAAAACACTTCCTACATCCATCTGCTTCTCTGGGCCCCCACCACCCCGGTCCAGGCCACCATCACTCCCCGCCCGGACTGCAATGAGAGCCCTGCCTGGGGGCCACAATCCATTCCCACAAAAGTCAGAGGCATCTTTACAAAACGTAAGTCAGATCATACATGAGTTAAAATTTGGCCCACGACAGTCTTCACACTGAAAATCAAAGCCACCCTCCTTACGCTGGCGCTTTGTGACCTGGCACCTGCTTCTCGCTCACCCTGTCCCTTGTTACCCAGCCCCCACTTCCCTCCCTCACCACCCTGGCCTTCCCACTGCTGCTCACAGAGGCCAGCCCCTTCCTGCTTTAGGGCCTTCCAGCCACGCTGCCCGCTGCCCCTGGTGGTGCCTGTCTTCGACCACCCCTAGTCATTCTTTATTCTAGTGCCTTAGCTTATTTTCAGTACTGCGCTCCTTTCCGCCTAGCAACACTTGTTGACTGTGTGAGCGTTTACTGTCTTCCTCCTCCCAGGCCTGGCACAAGAATAGTTGTAGAATTAATTAATGGTGGGTCACACATTTAATACCATACACACAGCATAAAGAAAAGAATATAGCAATTTATTTCATAGAACTATTCAGAGGCCGCACTTCATTGGGGGTGGGGAAATGGGGGGTGGGGATAGAAAAACCTGAATTTGAAAATGGATGATATGTGGGCCTTTTCCAGATTATCAAGTCTCTTGAGTGACTTGGTCTCTTGTGGATAGATTCTCAGTCTGTCAGCCGTCTTCCTGGGTCTGCTTCCTCTAGGAGGTACTAAGGTGTGCCCCTGGGCAGGTGTCTGGTCTCTAGCGCAGGGGGAGCTTGGTTCAGGCCACGTGGTGTCATCAGGGTCCTGGCAGGTCTCTGATGCATAGTAGCCGGCCTGGGTTTCTTCCTAGCTAGGTGACTGCAGGGCTGTGTCTGGGCCCTTCTAGCCTCTGAGGGTGACCAGCCGGCCCCCCGTGGCTCCAGTTGCAAATATCCAGGCCATAGCAGTCTCTTCCCTGTGGCCACAGGCTCTGTCCATCTTCCTGCTCTCTCAGCACCAACCATGGGGACTCTAGAATCTGCAGACTCACGCAGGCCGGGAGGGGGCTGCCTGAGCCTGGGGCACAGGTTCCTGATGGCAGCCACCTCTCCTGCCAAGGCTGCCGAGGGCTGCAGGCAGTTCTGGGGGATTGTGTGCCACCATGTTTGGGGGCTCATCCGGGCAGTTCTACAATGACGTCCTCACCCAAGAGGGAAGGCGAATGCCCACCTAGCCTCTCAGCCCTGCCCTGAATGTGTCTCCCTTTTTCTTTCGCCAATAATCCCCCAGGGTCCAGAAGACGTGGGCTCTCTGCTCCCTCATCCTGTCTGACCAGACCTTGGCCAACATCTGAACCTCCTCCTAGCCCCACGCCATCGGTGGAGTTAGGCTGGGGCAGTGGGGTTTCCTGGAGAAGAATAAAGAACATATCCATTCATTATTTTCAAAATATTCTCCCCATTACAAACACAAGGATATGTTCACACCATGTGAAGTCCAAATGATGACAGAATGCACCATATGGAGGAGGATTTCCCAGTTGCTCATTCAAAGAGAAACGTGGGGGTGGGGTGGGGGGGCGTTTGAGTCACCACGCGAAGCACAGCAGCGTAGGAACGCCACTCTCAAGAGAATGGGAGCCAAAGTCCCATTGCAAGCTGTGATTTCATTTCAGTAAAACACCAGCTGTCACATGGCATTCCAGTCTGAAGAAGAAATGGCTGCACCAGTGTCCTTTCTCGGTACTCAGCACAGAGCCTGGCACACCTAGGAGCAGAGAGAGCTGAAAGGTGACCTGTCACTCTGGTTCTGATCCCCTCTGTGCTTAGAACCTGACAGGCATCGTTTCATTCATTCTACAAAAATGCTGAGGGAGGGGAATTACCATCTCCCTTTTGCATTTGGTCAAACAGAGGCTTAGCCAGATTGAGTGACTTGCCAGTGGTCAGAGAGCAGGTCAGTGGGAAAGTTTCGGCTTGATCTGACTGCAGAGCCTGTCTTCTGTCCCTGACACCTGCCTCCCCCTCTCTCGGGAACTGGCCAAGCGCCCCCGGCAGATCCCCTCCCCTCCTTCCCCCAGCTGGGCCCAGCGATTGACCTCACCTGGAGTGTTTCTGTCCTTCAGGCTTGATTACTTGCTGGTTCCTTTCTTTTCCAAGAGGCCACTTGAAGGAGTGGAAATCAGGGCGTCTGCCAGGCAGCCCCAGGAGGCCCCTTTCTCCGCTGGCCTGCAGGCAGTGGCCTGTCTGGACTGCATAATTAAAAAGCCAGCTCTTTGTTCAACCAACTCTATGGCTTTCATCCATGTCCTGTGTACCCTGCAGGAAAGTGCTGGTGCCAGGGGCTCACCTGGAGCCCCGCTCCTGACCTCAGCTCCCTTGAACTGGGAGAAACCAGGATGGTGGTGGACTGATGGTAGTCAGACCAGCTCAGACCTGAAAGAAGGTCAGGCTGACGGGTGGAGGTGTACAGGGGCGGGGCCCCCAGCCCGTGGCCAGGCAGGTGGGGACGGAGGACTGTGCCAGGAAGGGAAGGGCCACTATGGGGCTGAGAGCATGCCTCCAAGTCCTGCTGTGCAACTGTCTTGCTGGGTGACTATCCCCTCTTGGGCCCATGAAATGAGAGGGTCAGTCTAAACTGGGTGGCAACCTGCAGGCCTGCAGGGCAGGGTGGGTGAAGGTGTGAAGCACCCAGGCCTTGTAAACCAACCCAGAGGTAACAGGACTTCTGCGGAGAGGCTGCTGGGAGTCTTCCTGCTTGGAAGGCAGAGGTCAGCGGTGAGAACTGTACAAAACTGGAGCCTGTATGCGTCATCGAAGGTGTTCAAAACCAAAGGAGAAATAAAAGTTCAAGCCCATCAAACAGAATAGGCTATGGGCCAAGTTCAGCCAGCAGGCTGCTGGTGGGTGACTTCTGGTCTACGTGACTCTAGATGACCTTGTTGGTCAGGTACGTAGCAAAGGACTCTATCTGTCATTTAACTACCAGAATTATGTATTAGAAAAATCCAGGGCTTTGGAGGCAGACATTCTGGGTTCAAATTGTGCTCTACCTCTTACTGAGGAACTCCTGCAAATGCTCAGTGTCTCGGGGACTCGGTTTCCTCATCTGTAATATGGGGTTAATAACAGAAGTGCCTATCTCCCATCATTGTTGTGCAGATTGAATGAGATTACCGTATCTAATGTGCCTGACATGCAGTGAGCCTTTAGCTACGGTTATAATTAATTAGGGGCAAGTCTCCATAGGGCTGTGTGAACTCTCAATAGGCCCCCAATCTAATCGAGTTCATCACCACAATCTTTACTTCATTACTTTTTATTCTTTCCCATAAAATTATTAAGTGTTACACCAATTGTGATTTAATTTGTGGGCTGTACTACTTTTCAAATAAATGAATTCCCAAAGCCATGGGGGAAGTGCCTTTGTCAAATGAAGTGGTGCTGGCTTGATGGGCATTTATAACAAAAGATCAATAAACAGAGACACCAGCAAGATGGCGGTGCCTCAGAAAAAGCCCTCAGATTTCTCTAACCCATGTTCCTGGCACATTTCAGCCGAAAGAGCCCAGAACCAAAAAAGGGAAGAGAAATTAAGATTTACTGAGTGGAGCTCTTACTTGGAGTCAGGTGGCCTTCTGTTCTTAATGCAACTAATTACTACCAGCTGCATGGCCTTAGTCACACAGCCTCTGGGCCTCAGTTGCCTCACCGGCAAAATGGGAATAACACCTATCTCATGGGGAGGGGAGGGCTAAGAGGAGTAAACTTAATGCATATAAAGTGCTTAGTACCCAGTAGATGCTCAATAAATGGTGGCTAGGTTTCTCTAGAATACAACTCACAAGAAGCTCACTGTCTACAGCTCCTGTCAGTGGAAGGAACTGGCCAGCCTCTCACTAACACCACCTCAGCCATCTCCCAAAGGGTTCAACTTGCAGAAAAACACAGTTTGGTACTGTTCCATTGAGTTCCAACCACTCCCTTCATTCTTCTTAAGACCATTACTATCAAAACACCCAATTTGCCCAATATACATATTTTCAAATTAGTTCTATTCAAGAGGTATATTAAATGATCTGCATTGTCCAGTGAATGCCAGAGGCCCTTCGATCCTAGCTCACAAGAGTCTCGGTGGATAACGCATCTTCTCCGATCCAGTCCGATCTGATTTGGCCTCAGTCTGGGAATGGAGATGAAGTTGCTGCAACCACTTGGCCCCCGATGAGACTCTCAGAGATTTGCTGAAAACATCCCGAGGTCAGGCAGAGTGACAGGCTGGCAAAGAGATGGTCTACGACGTGGCTAATGACCAAGTTTTGGCTCCTGTGGGTCTTGTAGGACTTGCTTCTGAGGAATCGGCTGAAGGAAAAACAAAATGAGTCTGCAGCTGTGAGCTGTCCCCTCATGCGGTCTTCACAAGGTGGCAGCAGTCTTCCCGGAGGTCCATAGATTCTGGTACAATCTCCAGGCACCACCACAGTCCTCCACCAGTTTGAGCCTTCCACCAGCCCCAGGGAGATGGGTAGATAGTGCCATTTTACAGGTAAGGACAAAAGAGGCCCAGAGAGTTTAATAACTTGTCCAAGGTCACTAAACTAGTAAGACGCACGCCCGTTGTGAACAATCATGGAATCGACGCATTTGCAGATTTGGGCGCATTCCACCCTTGGGAATCTCAGGATGTTCTGTTTACACTCCGAAACCAGCAGGATTCCATGAGGGAAGGAAAACAGTGTCTATTCCTTGGTCCTTCTCCAAGCCAATAATTAGCACTGGCCAATCTGAATCAGGTGCAGTTTGGGGGACTCTCTCTGTCCTTCTCTGCTGTCAGCGCTGTCACCTGGGGTTGGGGGTGGTGTGGCGGGAGTCAACATGGGTGTGGTTAAGAGCACAGTCCTAGGGTCAGACAGCCTACAGTCAAGTTCCAGCTCTGCCTCTTACTAGCCGTGTGACCTTGGGCAAGTAGATTTACTTCTCTAGGCTTTAACATAAAATAAAAATAATAACTGATGGCTTTTACTGAGTGCTTACCATGTGCCAGGCACAGCTCTAAGCTCTTTCCTTGCATTCTTTAATTTCATCATCTCAGCAACCCTGTGAGGTAGAATGTCATTGTCCCCATTTTACAGATGAGGAAACACTCATAGTGAAATTTCAAAAAACCCTGAGGTGGTAGGGAAAATACATCCATGCCAAGGTTTAGCTCAGCGTTCCTCACTGGCCTTCAGCAAACAGGGGTCAGCAGACTTTCCCTGTAAAGGGCCAGATGGTAACTATTTTAGGCTTTCAGGGCCATACAGCCCCTGTCACAACTCTTCAACTCTGCCATTGCAGCACAAACACAACCACAGATAACATGTAAATGGCAATTTGGGTTGTGTTCCAATAAAACTTGAAAGAACAGGAAGTGGGGTGTGGCTGCCCGTAGGCTGTAGTCTGCTGAACCCTGATCTAGGTAAAGGGCTTCTACTTCTTAGGGCCAATCCTGCCAAACGTCCATCTGTCCCCTCGTTCCCTGACTTTTGTCTTCTAAGTGCCTGAGCCCCACTTACTGGAGAGGCTGACATAATGAGGTAAGAAAGAAGATGAGGACGTAGGGAAATGAGGGGTGGGGGACAGCGCAGGCCAGAGAAGGCTGCTGGTCTCTAATGGCCAATGAAGTGGCACAGTCCCAGCAGGGACAGTATTGGGGTCAGGCTGGCAGAAAAATGGGTTACAGTTCTCAGGAGCACGGAGGGAGCCCTGCCTGGGTAGGATCAAGACCCCAGGTTGTGACTGGGGCAAAGGAACAGGTCTGGACAGCAGGAAGCATTAGGTAGTGGCCCAGTCAAGAGGGCTGAGTTGGGGGGCTCATCTCCAGCCCTTGGGGGGGATGCAAATACAAAGGGAAACTGAGGGAGAAGTCCATTCAAAGAACTAGGCAAAGAAGAGGGGGCTGGAGAAGAAGCTGTGAGTGACTGTGGACCTTGTCTACTGGTAGGACGTGGCCACTGAGAGACCCTGGTGGCTGCCTGTAGCAGGGTGGGCTCAGGACTAGCGAAAGCCGGGCCTCAGCCGAGACAGGATGGGGAAGCCGGTTAAACCTTCACAGGGAAAGCAGCCAGGACTTCCTCCTCTGCACAGAAAGAGAATGCCACAATGCAGCCCTTGCTGAGCCTGCTGGGTAGCCCAAGAAAGACCTGTTGCTTAATCAAATCCATTCAATTCAACAGACATTAATTAAGCACCTACTATGTGCCAAACCCTGGGGATATGGAAACAGGACATACCCTGAAGCCTGTCAGCATCTACAAGTGAGATGAATGAATATATGCAGAACTTTCTATAAATACAAGATGAAATGTTCACAGAAGCGTGACCAAGCGTGATTGGGACAGAGGAGAATTCTGACTGCGGGGAGGCCTTTCAGAAGAATTCATTAGTGAATAAAGATGATCGTTTCTATACTCGTAATATAGGGGTGCGCTGGTTCCCTGCAAGATTTCATCGGAGTGATCTACCGCCTCTCTTTCTGGAACCTGTGAAACACTTCAATGTTTGAGGACTTGTTTTCCCCTGAGAAGCATGAAGATAATCAGACTTCTCAGAAGAAAAGAGAAGCCTCTTAATCACCACCATTAAGCAAAAGAAAAAGGAACTGTCTCATGCACTTAAAGTCCTTCTGAGAGAATAGACTTCAAATCAGTTGTGTGTCTCTCACCAGGTAGTGATCAGAAAGGAAGCTTTATCCTCAGCAATCGCACTTTCATTTTAAGGGATGTTAGAAGTTTTAAAAGCTTAGAAGAAATGGTTGTCAGGAACTGAACTCTAGCTCTATACACTGATTTTAAAAAACCCCAGGCTCACAAAGATAATAAAAAATGCATTTAATAGCATGTCAGTATACAGCTTAAATGTATATTAAGTCTTCTTTTAGTCAGTGCATTACAGGGATAGAGAAGAGAAATACCATTTGTGAATGCACAGTCAAATGCTAAGTATTAGTGCTGATAAATCTTGGTGTTCTCACACTATTAAAATTCTGTTTTATGAAACATAACTCCAGGTGCAGTGCTCTGTGCCAGCGTGGGGAATCGTCTGGTCCAGGGTGCAATCTACAGTTTTAAATTGAATTGTATACAAGTATTAACAAAAGAATAAAATTTATTATTCACAAAACTAAAGGGGTTATCAGAAAGCTTACAAGAAAGTACAGCCTAGAACGAATGAGTCGAAAAACTAGTTTTAAAAATAATAAAACTCACTGGACAGTTTTGGAAAATGATATTATAAAACAAAGAAACCAATTGGCACAGTTTAACCACCTAATTTCTAAGTGCACTTTGTAATGGTCCTTGCAAGCTGCCACTTTTTCCCAGGATAATGACAAAAAGCTTCAGTCAAGTGTCACTGGCTTATGGTGACGGGGTTTTTTTATTGCATTGCCAAGAGTGGATTTTAAGAAAAAACACTACAAAGGTTTCAAAAACCCTATTTATTCTCTATCATCAAAAATAGCAACAGGGGGACTTATACAACTTTTCTGTGAGTACCCACCAGTCTATTTTTTTTTTCTTAAAAAAAATAGAAGTTAGTTAAAGAAAAATGATTTGGTTTTTAAAAAATAATGTAAGGAAACACTTAATCAGATAGCCCAAGGAGTCATCAGAAATATGTGTAGCAAGAAAGCTTCATTTTTGGCCCTCTCCGGCCTTTGCACGTCTTTTACTAAACTAGAAAGAGAATGTACAGTACCAATATGTTCCCCAACCTGCTTGGATCAAATTGTTTTGTTTTGAAACCCATTATTGCTAAACCAGAGTGTTGACACTGAGAGCCGAGGAGTCCGCTCATAGAGGATAAAATTGAGAGGCTGCTTCGGAGGACTGGATCTCCACCTGCGCCATTTTGAACTGCGTGCACTGCAGCCATTTGCGGAGCGCCACCAGCCCCGCGCTGCTCTGCGCCGAGCCTGGCAGCGTCCTTAGGCTGTGGTGGTTGACGTTGTTCTGAATGGCCTGGAGGCGAAGCTGGAGTCCCGCAGATAGGTGCTGTTGAGACAGGGCAAGACATTCCATTTAGCTTCTTGCTTTCCAATGCTCACCAACAACCCCGGGGCTGCCAGCCGGGACTACTTCTGCAGGCAGAACTCATACATGGCTCAAGGGCTGTCTGGCCCGAAGAAGGCCCACTCGCAAATCTGACAATGCTCTGGGCAGGGGATGTGGGCAGGTACCATGTTTCTAGAGTCTAACCTGGCCCAAATGCATCCAAACCATGCCATTCCCATCTTGACTGGTTTATTGCAACAGGAACTTAAAGCTGACATCCATGTATGGGCTGACACCAATACTTGTCCCCCAGGAGCTGGTCACCATGTGAGCCTAGAGTTGTGGTGAAGTGGCCTGGCTCTGCCGCCAGGCTCCCTGGGTTCAAATCCTGGCTCCAATGTTAACGACTTTAAAAAGAAGCCTTTTAGGTCTGTGTTTGGATTTTCTCATAGGCAAAGTATGGGGATGGTAACACTTACTTCATGGGGTTTTGTAAAAATAAATGAGTTAATTGAGGGTTTAGAACAAAACTCAGCACGTAGTAAGTGCTCATTACATTATAGTGATGATAATCATCTCTCTGTTCTCATGTTAATGCACACAAAGAAGCTAGGTGGTAAGCTTTGCTTATTTTTTTGAGCTTTTCATCAAGTTCTGTTGGCCTGCTCTTAGCAGACCGTGCAATGTCAATCACCAGATTACCATCAGGCAGGGCGAGGGGCAACCTAGAATGCCTCAAGGTGGAAGTATATGCACTTTGCACAATAAAAATGAGCACAGAGATGAAGTTTTCAGCAGTGCCAATGCACCCACCCGTGGTCACAACAGGACCAACCCCATGACTCAGGACTCAGCCTACAGTCACTGCTGACAGCTGCATTTCTCTCTCGGTGTCTGGTTACCTTGAGGTCATGCCCTTCCCTCCCCACTAGCATCCCTCCCCAACTCTGAGAAGACATTTAGCAGAAAAGATTTCCATCGTCTCCTCCTGACCCACACCCATACTCCTAATGCCATGGACGGGGCCATTTTGGATGGAGCTGGTGGCTACCTCTGCCATCTTAATGTCAAGCCCCAGTAACTACATTTGCTGGTCACGGAGTATCTTTGGCCCTACTGTGACAATGTGTCACTCAAGGCAGGGCCTGGCCGTGGGAAATGCATTCAGTCAGGGTGTTCCCTTTCATGGCTACGGGGCCCTGTCCAAGCGACTATTCCTTCTGGTCCAACTTTTTCTCTTATATAAAAGAATGAGAGGGCGGGCAGGTATCTTCGAGCTCAATTCTGCCATTCATTCAAAGCTATCCTTTCTTAATAGAATTCTTCCCATCCCAGAAAATCACTTTCAAGAAATAGCACTGGAGGACACGCCTGGGATCAGATCCCACAGGTATGCTCTGAAGGTAGACTAGCTGTCCAGCCTCCATTCTAGTCAGTAACTGAGCCTCGCCCAGACTCTGGCATCCTCTCCTCCTCCTCCCCTCCATCCTCATCCACAGTGAGCAGTGGCTCCCGCTGTCACCTCGGCCCGCAGACCTCTGACCTGGCCCAAAGGGTCTGCTGCACTAGCAGCCCCCTGAGACCAGGGGCAGGTGGAATGCATGTTTCTCCACAGGAAGTGGAGCATGAACATGCCCTGTGATGTGATGCTCTCTGGAGGGAACTGAGTCTCTGGTCCACGGGGGTGACTCACCTTGATATTTGACTGGATCATTGGCAACCACATAGGTATCAGCTGTGTGGAGAAACA